GGGGGGGGGGAGGATGACACTCCCTACAGCCTCACTTGGGGGTTTGTCCTGGCCACCCCACTGGTCCCTCTTTGCAGCACAAGCCTTGGGTCATTCTGTGCTGTGAGCAGGAGGACAGAGCTCCAACTTGGGCAGGGGTGAACACCATGAATGTCTTTATTGTCAGCCCAGCTTTCCTGCCAGGATGAACACGCCAGCTTGGCCTCCAGCATTACCCCCAGTGCAGCCTTTCCCCTGCAATTAGTTAGCTAATGAGCTCTGAGCAACCCCTCCAGAAAGACAGAAAAACAACCCATGCTTTAGAAACATGTTTTTTTATGCCACAAGTGGGAAGACCCCATCCCAAAGGCTTGGGGTGGAGACACCTTTTATCTTCAATCATGATGGAATTATCATGGCTCACGTTTTCAGGCTTGTTTTTATCTTAATCTGGACTTCTCCTCTTCTCTCTTAGCACTTACAACAAGCTGTGGAGAGATGCCATGGAGGACCTGGACATCCAGCTCCAGAAGGAAACAGGAGAGTTCCTCCAGCCCGAGGAGGACCACAAGAAGGTTCTGGAGTTGTTGACCACTTGCTACATCAAATACATGCGGATCTTCCGGAGCCTGGAGATGGCCCATGATCACCTCGTTAACCAGCAGAAACAAGCACTGATCAGGCAGGTCCTCGATGGTGTGATTGGCCGCATCCTGGAGATTAAAAAGGAGCTGGTGGAGCTGGAGAACTCGGAGTTTCAGGTCATGGATGATACCCTGATGGATCTACAGCTTCTCCCGGTTGGTTTGCCTGTATTTACTCAGCATGTTCATGGGGCTTGTGCCTTGCCTGTGTTTTCAGGACAGCCCGTGGGGTTCCACCGTGATTTAGCTCCCTCCAGGTTCGTGAGTGACCAGTCACGATGGCGTTAGTGAGCTGTAGATGCATTAAATACCCTTTGCCTTTCTGCTGGGTGAGAAGTTGGCCATGAGAAGCTGGTCCTTCTCTCGCAGGCAGCTCCACCTATTGTCAAAGTCAGGTACCGCCGCTTTTCCCAAAGGAAGATCCCTCCAATGACTGCGTTTTGGGGCAGTTTTCCCAGATACAACACGAGATAAAACACCTGAGATCATCATCGATTTCTGGTTGAAGCTCTGTGGGCAGGTTGGAGCAGCCTGGGCTGGTGGGAGATGACCCTGCCCATGCAGGGGGGTTGGGACTGGATGATCTTTAAGGTCCCTCCAACCCAAACCCATTCTGTGATGATTCTGCCTCACTCTGCAAATGAAGAATATTAATTGCCACGATTTTTTTACCAGCTCTATACATTAATTGTAGTGGATAAACACTGGGGTATAAACACACCTCTAGGGAGACTGGTCTGCCCAGCACGTGTTGAAATGTTCCAGTTCTGCAGTTTTATCAGTAAATCCTCCCTGCAGCAAAGAGCTGGCAAGGCTGGAAAGTCAGGCTTGACATCTCTCAAAAAAAACCCCCAAAAACAAGCATAAATCCAAATTCCTGCACCACACCTTAATTTTGAGAGGGAATGGCATCCCTACGTGCTGCTACAAGAGCAAAGACAGAGCCCTGAAGAGATTTCAGGCTTTTTTTTCCACACATTCTTTTCCATGGCAAGAGAAAAATATTTATGCATTTCTTTTTTTCATTTAAATAATATTCTTGGTTTCAAACAAAAATGACTGGTCAGTATTTTACAGTTACAAATCACAGAGTCACAAATTCTTGTGTCACTCTTGCCTGGCTCCCCCATCCCTCCTCCTGGGCAAATCATGTGTGTGAGGAAATGTTTTCAGCTTGGTGGAAATCATCTTTACATTTCTGGCAACCCTGCCAAATATTTGAAGGGTTTGATAATATAACTGAGCCATTCTGAAAAAGGTTTCTGGGCTGCTGTGGCTCAGAAACTGGGCTGATTTATTTGTTTTTCATGAGTTAGGCCTGAAGTCATTGCAAAGTAACAGCTCAGCAGCTGTTGCAGAGGTCAGGTTCCCTCCCAACCCTCCAAAATACTCAGCAGTCTGATTTAATTGCTCTGCCAAGACATTCAATTAATAAATAATGCCATTTTAATGCAGTTTCAAAAGCATCTCACAACTATTTCTTCCCCTAGGAAGACCTAGAAGTGCCTATCCCAAGATATTTCATCAAGGAAAACCTGGAAGTCCTGCAGGAGAGGGAGAGAATCTTTGATGAGGTTTTCCTTAATGAAAGCTTGGAAACAGAGGTGAGTGTGTCACCCACTTACAGAATGACATGATTAACAGGTGAGTGTGTCACTCACCTCGAGAACGACATGATTAAGTATGTTAGTTGCCATTGCTGCTCCCTGGAAATAAAACCTGTGCCTTCCAGCCTGGACAAGCCAGATTCCTACATGTTCTGGAAGCAGTTCACCACCAAGCACCTAACTACAACTTTGCTTTGTCCATTCCTTTGTTGAAGCAACCTCTGGAGGAACCTGAAGAGCCTGTTGAAGCAACCCAGGCTGAAGAGGAGGAGCATCCTCCAGCAGCATTCAAGAAGCAAACTTACCTGACAAGGAGGAGAGAAATTCCACTTCCCAAGCTCATCAGCGCTGCCACTTGCATCCAAAAGGTGAGATCCCTGGTGTCACAGCAGCTCTGGCAGAACTGAGCGACCACCTTGTGGTCAGAAGAGCAGCAGCAGGCAGAAATAGGGTGGGAAAGGAGGTTCCAGGGAGCCCAGCAAGGTGGAATCCTTCCTTTAAAGCACTTCACAAGGCAAGGCAGGGAGCCTAGAAGTGAGATCAATGGACAGAGTCCTGCCCTGGCCAGGGAGGAGGCTTCATAACCCACCTGTTGCTTTTCCTTGCTCATTTTTCTGGCATCCCCTTGGGATCCAGTGCATCCCTGTTCCTCTCATCTCCAGGGAAAGA